TGTCCAAATCACATGCAGCTTCCCCACTACTCCTGTGTGAACCCAGGCTTGTCATAGCCTGAGTTCACATGGGAGCGGTGCGGGAAACCTCCCTGCACCAATCCTATGCTGTCACACAAGGAAAAAACACTTCACAGGTCTGGGGACCATCATGGTGCTGACCAATCAGAAGCCATCTAGCCCGTACTGTCATCCCTGCAAGGAGAAGAGAGAATGTTGCTTCACAGCTCGGGGTATTTTTAATACTGGCAGCTTTCTCTCCTCTCCTTGCAGTGATCACAGTATGGGCTAGACGGCTTCTGATTGGTCAGCATCATGACGGTGCTGACCTATCAAAACCTGCCTGGCCTGTACTGTTATCTCTGCACAGAGAGGTGAGAAAGCCGTGGGGATTTCAAATCTCCAGACCTGTGAAGCAACTTTTCCTTGTGTGACAGCATAGGATCAGTGCAGGGAGGTTTCCCGCACCGCTCCTATGTGAACTCAGGAGCAGTGGGGAAACCGCACGCGATTTGGACTGGAATCGCACTGCATTTCTGTTCAAATAGCATGCTATTCTTTGCAGTGCAATTTGCGTCCATGCATTTTGTGTTGATGCAAATCACACTGCAAAGTATCGGTTTCAGGTTTCGGGAGCATTTTCACAAGTGCTCATACATGTGACAATATGTCAGGGTTCCAGGTATAACCAGAGATGTGTGGACTGACACAGGGAAACGCAGGCTTCAGGTATAGTATAAACAATACAATTTATTAAAGACTAAACAATACATAAATGCAGTGCAAGACTAAACATAAACACAGTGCAAACAAACCAAACCTCCAACAGATAACAATAAGAACAATGCTAAACGTAGTCGGGCAGGCCGGGTCGGTAGCAAACGGGCAGGCAAGGTACAAGGAGCAGGCGGAAGAGTAGTCAGGAATAGCCGAGGTCAGTACAGGCAGAGTACGTGCAGAGTCAGGATTCAAGCAGGCAGGATCAGGATACAGGGGCCAAGGGAAACTATACACCAAGGCCCTGACTGCAGGCCTGGCTACTCCTTAAATACACCTCCTGCAATCAGCCTCAGGTGATGACTTGATTGCAGGAGTGAGCTTCTGGCTGCTGAGAGCACCCGCTGGCCAGCCCTGGTACTGCAGCCCACACGGCAGGTGAGTCCTACCACCAGTGGTGAGTCCATTCCTGACACAATACTCAGTATCAGCACCGATACCGGTTTTGGTCTCTGTTCATCCCTATTACTGAAAATACAGATGTTTTGTAAATTTAGTTGTGGTATATTTTGAAGCCATTTCCAAAATACAGCCCAGCAGAGAAAAAGAATCAGTGTCAAAGTACCTGCCATTACTCCAAGATATACTGTACATATATGGATTTATCAGGATTAACTTTTTTGAATTTTTTTTTCTTTCTATTGTACATAAATTAGTGTTTTGTAACTAGTCCCCGTTTCAAACAATTTATTTAATGGGGTCAGTTTTCATTATACAATTTCACTTTCCATAGTGTAATAAAAAGACATTTGAATTTTATCAATTTTAAAAGCACTCAGCATTTGCAGATAGAGAAAGGTAATTTTATAAATAATATGAAAAACAAATCACACATATATACAGTATATATGTATATACTGTCTATATATATCTTTTTTTCCTATAACATGGCTGGGTGCACATGGGTTTCCTAAGCAGAAGTAAAATTTACAACCTTTAGTAGGACATTAATTTAGTAGGACATTCTATGACTGTTATCCAGCTGTGCATTATTTTGCAGGTGTGTTCTGGAAAATAGTAACAAGGATTGCATAATAAACCTAAGGAATACAAATTTGCTCAAGTGATCATTTTTCTGTCATCTCACACATGTCACTTATTTTTCAGTTGCATAGATTGTTGCTGGCTGCATAAATAGCATGGTTAGTTTGTTCTTTTAATTACATTGAGTTCATGTAGCACATCTAATTTGCATTGCAGAATACACATTTATATTTGTAGATGAGTGAATTTACAATGTAGGTGTCCCATTGCTAAACATGAAATGCAAGATGCATTAGACCACCTTTGTATTGCTGCAAAAAATTGCTTACCGTAGTTATTGCAAAAAGTCCCTGTGAACTCAGACAGAACCAATATCATACTGCATGGTAATTATTCTTTTTTTTAGAGGGAGCAAAGCAATTATCTAGTAATCTCCCTTAATACTGTGCAAGGGTAGGAGGACTAGCAATTTACTGATTCATAACCCTCAAGAGTATTTAGCATTTAGTATATACTAAAGGGCATATCTATAAATTGGTGAATATGAGTTTTGCCAGCAAATCTTTACAAACAAAATTCACCAAAATATGCCAACATCTGTTGGCAACATCACACCAGGCTTTTGACTAAATGATTTTAACTGTAACCTTTTATACAGTAAAATGTATTTACAAAATCATAAAATATGCAAAATCTATAAGAGAGAATGAGGAAATTTGCTGAAAATGTAATTCTTAAATTACAGTAGGCCATTGATTAACCCAACTAACTGTAAATTAGTAGTTCTATATATTTGTAGGCCAAAGATATTATCGAAGAGGAATGTGACTAATTTGTGATATAAAAGCAGGTTCCAGGATCTAGAGCATACAACCCTGTAATGATGTTTGGGGCTGGCAGAAGAACTAAAATGTTTGGTGAGGGACCAGAAATCTGACATTCCCAGAATTGTCCTATGAAGAAAATTTTTGTGAAGCAATACGAAGAAAGTTGGCATAACTAGTTACCACAATTCCAGTGTACACTTAAAAATAAAGGTTTTAATCAAGGTTCCTTTAATGTGTCACCAGATTTTGCAGTTCATGTGTTGCTGTCTTCTGATTCCCTGTATTGGTGCTTCAACAATTTGCTTTGCTTTATGATGCATGAGGGCCCACTTACAGTATGCCTTTGTCCTTGTCTACTTCATCTGAAAGTAGTTATGTTTGTTTGTTTGTTTGTTTGTTTGTTTGTTTGTTTGTTTTCCTGTTTTGATTAATCGCTTCCCGACCACCCTATAGCAGACATACTGCTACAGGGCAGCACGAGTGAGGAAAATCACGTATATATACGTGATTTGCATTTCCAGGTACGGGCACCAGTGATTACTTGCTGGCACCCGGTGATTGCCGAGGATCTGCAACGGGGAGGAGAACTGTTTGTAAACAAAACAGTTCTCCCTGTCAACACGTGCACACTGCTTTGCATGGTTGTGCACAGCACAGCCATACAAAAAGCAGTGTGCTTACAGTGAAGCACAAGCACTTGGCCCCACAGAAAAACACATCCAGCCCACAATTAACCCTTTGATTGCCCCTCATGTTAACCCCTTCCTGCCCAGTGCCATTAGTACAGTGTCAGTGTGTTTTTTTTTAGCACTGATCACTGTATTGGTGTCACTGGGGATGTCAGTGACACCAAGTTAGTTACTCCCAGTGTCATAATTCACACCGCAGTCCCACAGTCCCGCTATAAGTCGTTGATCGCCGCCATTACTAGTAACAATTAATAAAAAAATTTGAGTATATATATCGCCATTTGTAAATGCTATAACTTTAACATAAACAAATTAATTTACATGTAGCAGAATACATTTTGGCCTAAATTTATGACAAAATTTAATTTTTTTTATTTTTTACTGGACATGTTTAATAGCAAAAAGTCAAAAATATTGTTTTTTTTCTCAAAATTGTCGGTCTTTTTTTTTTTCATAGTGCAAAAAATAAAAACCGCACAGGTGATCAAATACCACTGAAAGAAAGCTCAATTCATGGGGAAAAAAGGAGGTAAATTTCATTTGGGTGTAACGTTGCATGACTGTGCAATTGACAGTTAAAGTAATGCAGCGCTGTAATGCAAAAAATGTCCTGGTCAGGAAGGGGGGTAAATCCTGAGGAGGGCAAGTGGTCAATTATGGAACCCAGTCACATGACCTGTCCAAGTCATGTGATCAGCTCTTCTCCAATCATGCTTAATCCAGCAGAGAGCTATATAAGACACCATGGGCTTCACACAACTACCTACATATTTTGAACAGGCAGCAAGATTCTGGTTGCAGTAACTTTACTAAAGCTATTTTTGTTGAAAGGCAAGGCTATGGCTTTATTGGAAAAAAAAACAACACTTTAATAAAATGTCAAACCAATAACAATGGCATTTAGTAATAACTTTGTGCCAATCACGGAAAAAAATATATGTAGCAGTTAGCATATAAAGCCAAAATGCCATTCTTAACAATAGGTTCCAGACAGGTGTCCAACTAACCAAGACCCAGAGAAGTTAAAAACAGGGACTGTTTAACCCTTTCTCTGCCACCAGCATATGTCATACAGCTACAGCAGCTGGGATATGTGGAATGTGTGTAAATCTGATAAGCCAAATGTCAGCTGTCAGATGGCAGCAATTAAGCACCTATATGTCCCACCTGATTGCTTTCACACCCCGGAAACACTTGACTCCCTACACAAACACCCCTTCCTTGTCTCCCAGGTGCTGCACTCCCTTCAGTGGACCTGCAACTGACATGGTAGCTGCCACCAGGTAGGAGGGGAGTGAGAACAGTAGGGGCTGCTTTGTCCGTCTCTTGATCTCCCCTATCTAGGAGGGACTGTCACTTTCCCCAGATGCTGTGGCCTGGGAAGAATCTTATGGAGCCCAATCTGCTTTCCATTAGCATCAATTGAGGCAGGCGAGACATCAGGGGTCTAAAAGACCCTGATGTATCATTGTTGAGACCCTATCACAAAAAATGTATCACATAAGGTGTTTTGTATCCTCATTGTGATAAAAAACAGTTTACTGGAAAAGTGTAAAAAATAAATGACACCCAGCACTTACGCTCCCCTAAAAAATGTTGAGCCCCCCCCCCACCCCCATATACACTCCATTGCCAAAAGTATTGGGACACCCCTTCAAATCATTGGATTCAGGTGTTCTAATCACCTCCATGGCCACAGGTGTATAAAATTAAGCACCTAGGCATGCAGACTGCTTCTACAAACATTTGTGAAAGAATGAGTCCCTCTCAGGAGCTCAGTGAGTTCAAGTGTTGCCCCATGATAGGTTTCCACCTGTGCAATAAGTCCATCCGTGAAATTTCCTTGCTACTAAATATTCCACGGTCAACTGTTAGTGGTATTATAACTAAGTGGAAGCAACTGGGAACAACAGCAACTTAGCTACAAAGTGGTAGGCCACGTAAAATGACAGATCTGGGTCAGAGCATGCTGAAGCGCACAGTGCGCAGAAGTCACCAACTGTCTGCAGAGTCAATAGCTAAAGATGTCCAAGCTTCATGTGGCCTTCAGATTACCACAAAAATAGTGTATAGAGGGCTTCATGGAATGGGTTTTCTGTGGCCGAGCAGCTACATTCAAGCCTTACATTGCCAAGTGCAATGCAAAGCGTTGGATGCAGTGGTGTAAAGCAAGCCACCACTGGACTCTAGAGCAATGGAGATGTGTTCTCTGGAGTGACAAATCAGGCTTCTCTGTCTGGCAATCTGATGGACTTGTCTTGGTTCGGTTGTTGCCAGGAGAACGGTACTTGACTGACATAATTGTGCCAAGTGTAAAATATAGTGGAGAGGGGATTATGGTATGGGGTTGTTCATCAAGGGTTAGGTTTAGCCCCTTAGTTCCAGTGAAGGGAACTCTTAAGGCATCAGCATACCAAGACATTTTGGACAATTTCATGCTCCCAACTTTGTGGGGAAACAGTGTGAGGATGGCCCCTTCCTGTTCCAACATGACTGCGCACCAGTGCACAAAGCAAGGTCCATAAAGACATGGATGACCAAGTTTGGGGTGGAGGAACTTGACTGGCCTGCACAGAGTTCTGACCTCAACCCGAAAGAACACCTTTGGGATCAAGTAGAGCAGACACTGTGAACCAGGCCTTCTCGTCCAACATCAGTGCCTGACCTCACAAATGCGCTTCTGGAAGAATGGTCAAACATTCCCATAGATACACTCCTAAACCTTGTGGACAGCCTTCCCAGAAGAGTTGAACCTGTTATAGCTGAAAAGGGTGGGCCAACTCAATATTGAAAATCAGAAAATAGAGAATATATTGCATCTTTGTGCCCCAAAATTAACTCTAGTGGACTTTTTACTGAAGTTTTGCACTTGATGTTGGAAGTACCAGCATTTTATTCTCCTGGTTGACTGCGTGCAGAAAATGCTAAATGTTGGGGTTTTTAACTAATATTCAGGCATAAAATGATTTTTTAAACTCGTGCACAAAAAAAATGCCTCTGGAAGGAAAAGGGTTAAATGCTGAAAAGAACTCTTCCAATAAAGCCATGACTGAAAGAAAAAACAACAAAACAAATGGGGAAAGGAGGGAGGTGAGTGGGGATTTTCTAAGTGGCTGCTGTTTCTCAGGTCTTTAGTCCCACTCTTTGCTATATGTACACAATGATCCAGATTCCTACTCTCAGATGCAGCCCAACCAGTGGCAGCCTGTGCTGTTACACACCATTAATTGGAGAAGGGATGCCATGCTTCCAGTAGTGAATGCTATTTTTTTCTTTATGATTTAATGTATTTTTCAATATATTTCCCCTTAGGGTAAAATCCTTGGGAGCATAGAAAGCTTCATTGCTTTAATGTGTACTTATTGCTTATGGAAAATTGAAGTAATGCAAAAAACATGATCCTTGAATAAAATACCTAAATACCTTGTTCTGGCACTGCCTCCAAGGGTTTTATCTTCATATCAGTGGCGTTGCATGACATGATGTTACAGCTTTTTGTTTGCTATATGCTCATCTTTTCCAGTGCAATTCAATGAACGCTCCATGTAGAAACTCGATGATGTTCTTTCTGTAAAGCCATGGAACACACTTGAAGCTTTAGCACAACATTTTCCTCTCCCTTCTTTTTTCGTCTCTTTTACTTTATCCACTACCTTTCTTTTGTTGGTCATTCCTCTTTTCGTGAGTTTTCATTCACTTATTCACCCCTTGGTTAAACTACGGTATTCAACTATATTCTGTACATTACTCAAATATAAACTGTAAATGACTCTTCCAATAGTCATATATATATATATATATATAAATATATATATATATATTATATATATATATACATATATTATGAAATTCTATAGTCATAAGCCTTTACACACTGCTGTAGCTGCTCCTTTAGTTTTGGGGAAGAGTCTGTATCAGTAATCTATAGAAGGCATAGACAAATAGCAAGGCTGACTGATGCAAAGGAAAAGAGCAGAGCCGGAATCAGCAAATCTCAGTGTGCTTCATCAGGTTAATCCCCAGGAGGAAGCTGTAGAGGCCGTGAAGTGCAGGAAATCAATTGCCCAAGAAATTTATTCAGCTCTGTATGGATTTCAGCATTCCCCTCTGTACTGTCATGTTTTCTCATATTGCTACTGAGACAATCAAAACCTCTGAGCTGCACCTGTTTATTCAGAAACAACTCTGCTTTCCTGTTATTTTACACAGATTTAGCTCGGTCAGATTTATTATTCTTTTGTTTTAGTGACAAAGGGCCTTCCCACTTTAACTGCCTAGAAAAAAAGTTATTGTATTGCAGAAGTCACATGTGTAATCATGCCTGATGAATGGATCATTGACCCACCATATTGCTGTACTCAGCCATTTTTTGGTCAGTTAAGTCAGCAGACATTGCCAGATGTTCGGTCGGCGATGGCGTTTTTTCAAATAAGTGATCCTGATGTAATCTATAAAGCACAAGAGTTGTATCAGAACAGTCAAAACTTCATGAGTTGCTGTATTGGTGGTTAATGCAAAAGTAGCTAAACAAAACTGTTTGCAGATTGAGCTTGTTCTCCAGTTGCCTGGCCTTCTGCTTCAAATGTTCCCAATAGACACGACTTCCCATCGCCATCTTTGTTGACTGACATACTAAAGTGGTTTTATTATCTGGTATTGAACATCTGTTAGACTGAGATCAAACAGTTTTCATCTATATCATCTGTAATTCACTCTGGCAATATCAGCTCTATTACTTTCATATCTTAGAAGAAGATTTTTAGAGATGAAACGCAATGTCCTTTTAGGATTTGTACAGAAAACATTCTTAAGGGCTGCTGAAGAACAGTAACTGGCTGCTGTTTTATATCAATTACAAACATTAAACATACAACTTTGGTGCATTTTTACACTTTCAAATATAATTGTGTTTTACTCAGTTTTGTGATTCAGTAAAATGCTTTGTACATATAATGAAATGTAAGCATGGAGAATCATAATACACCTGAGAAGAGTTTAAAGTTGAACTATAAGCAAACGCCTAAATACACAGCTATAGCACATGTATGGGAGCTGTTTTTATATGGTATAGGGTTTTTAATGCTCTGCAGCCACTTTTGCCAGACACCATAGTCAGGCCTAAGACATCCAGCTGCAGCAATACCAAGCAGTTGTACCTGGACACATCCCTTATTTGCTGCAAACTCATTTGCTTGCTCATCATTCCTCATCATATACAGTTTCCCTAAAGGATTAATTCACCTTTACAGAAAAAATGTAAAGGTGAACTAACACCAGTAGTAACCATCACCAATGGGTTTGCACAGAGCAGCACTGATTCTCTTTGTACGGCGCCCCCCATTGGCTCTCCTGGCCTCTCCTCCCTGCTGAGTGTCCCCATAGCAAGCAACTTGCTATGAGGACACTTGTGCAGGCCTACTGCTGAAGCAACTTGGGCCTCCCCCCGCCCTCATTACTGGCTGTGTTTGACAGGGGAAGAAGCCAATGGCTCCAGCCACTGTGTCTGAGCTAATGAAGAGACAAAGAGCCATGAGAGCCTCTGCTCTTGTGCACAGTTCTGGATTGAGTTCGGGCTCAGGTAAGTATATAGGGGACTGAAGGGGGAGATGCTTGCCAAAGGTTTTTTTTTACCTTAACCACTTGACCTCCAGAGGATTTACCCCCCTTAATGACCAGGCCTCTTTTTGCTACTCGGCGCTGCACTAATTCAACTGATAATTGAAACGCTGCACCCAAACGAAATTTACGTCCTTTTTTTCACACAAATAGAGCTTTTTTTCGGTGGTATTTGATCACCTGTGCGCTTTTTATTTTTTCACGCTATAAACAAAAAAAAGGCCCAAAATTTTGAAGAAAAACAATATTTTTTACTTTCAGCTATAAAAAAATATATAGTAAACTCAAAGTTGGTTATAAATTTAGGCCAAAATGTATTCTGCTACATGTTTTTGGTAAAAAAAAATCCCAATAAGTGTATGTTGATTGCTTTGTGTGAAAGTTATAGCGTCGACAAACTATGGTATAGATACTGCAATTTACGCCATTTTTTTGCTATACAGCACTGCGCTAGTTTAACGGACAATTGCGCGGTCATGCAATACGGTTCATAAATGAAATTTACATCCTTTTTTTTCCCCACAAATTGAGCTTTCTTTCGGTGGTATTTGATCGCCTGTGCGGTTTTTATTTTTTGCGCTGTAAAAAAAAAGCTGACAATTTTGAGGAAAAAAAACAATATTTTGGACTTTTTGCTATAAAACATAATCAGTAAAAAAAATGTAAAAATCTAATTTAGTCATAAATTTCTGCCAAAATGTATTCTGAGACATGTCTTTGCTAAAAAAAAAACCCAATACGTGTAAATTAATTGGTTTACGTGAAAGTTATAGCGTTTACAAATGGCGGGAAAGATACTGGGATTTTTAGGGTTTTTTTTATACTAATAATGGCAGCGATCAGCTACTTATGGCGGCGATCAGGGACTTATGGCGGCGATCAGCGACTTATGGCAGGACTGCGGACATTCTGGCATTGGGGGGTACTGACTTGGGGTCACTGACATCCCCAGTGACACCAATACAAGTGCAAAAAAAAAAACACTGACACTGTACTAATGGCACTGGGGAGGAAGGGGTTAAGTTTATTTTTCAGGGAAGGTTTTATCTGTGTGAGGGGAGTGTTTTACTAGGGGGCAGGGGTGTGTACTGCAGGGAACACCACTGATCGGGAGAGAGAAACTCTTCTGTCCCGATCAGCTTGTCCTGGAGCTGTCAGGGAACTGACAGAAAGCACAGCTACTGCAGCTGTGCTCTCTGTCAACTATTGCCGCCGATTGCCGGGACATAGCCGGTAACGATCGGCTCTGACCCGGCGACTGACATCCGCGGCTGTGATCGGCGGGACAGGTAGGGCGGCGGCCCTACCTGTTTACAAAACACTCGTTTTAAAATGTGGTTTTGCCTGCCCGTGCCGCCCTGCCGCTGTATTTCTACAGTGGCTGGGCGGCATGTGGTTAATGTAGAGAATGCATTAGGGTAAAAAAAACCTTCTGCCTTTAGAACCACTTTAAGCCATGCCCAATTCTGCATAGGGTGCCTATGCCCTGGTCTTGCTTGCAGACTCTGCAAACAAATAAATATATCAAAAGCCAAAATGTATTTTCAACCTTTGTCTAGGGCAGGGGTCTCCAA